TCACCACAACCTCTGCCTCCCTGGTTCAAGCAATTCTCCTGCCTCAACCTCCTGAGTAGCCGGCATTACAGGCATGTGCCACCAAGCCCAGCTAATTTTTGTTTTTTCAGTAGAGACGGGGTTTCTCCATGTTAGTCAGGCTGGCGTTGAACTCCTGGCCTCAGGTGATCCACCCTACCCAGCCTCCCAAAGTGCTGGGATTACAGGTGTGAGTCACTGCGCCCAGCTGTATTTTTGTGAATTTTTTAAAAATTAGGTGGCATACGTATTGTTTTGTAATTTTCTCAGTGTATCTTAACAGATTATTTGTGTTGATATACATAGGAAAATCTAGCTCATTCTTTTTGAATAATGAATAATATTCACTAAAATTGATTTACCACAGTTTAATTATTCAGGAAGGGCATTTTGTAGGTAAAAAATAAGTTATAGAAAGGTTTGGTGATGTGGTTAGGGTCAAATAACATTGACATGACTAAGATTTACATGTAACTTCTGTTCTAATGTCTGTTCTTCAGAATATGGTACATTCTCTCTCTAAAAAAATATCACTCTAATTTATCAGGTTGGCACTATCAGATATATGGCACCAGAAGTGCTAGAAGGAGCTGTGAACTTGAGGGACTGTGAATCAGCTTTGAAACAAGTAGACATGTATGCTCTTGGACTAATCTATTGGGAGATATTTATGAGATGTACAGACCTCTTCCCAGGTAAAAACTACTGTCAAAAGTTCATATGTTTTGAAGTGAAACAGTTATATCTCCTTTCTCTACCTGTAGTACATAACTCAACTTTTATGTAAGAATTTTTTACTTTTATTTAAACCTCTAGTTCATTGACATCTAGTGTTTAGAAACATTATTAGCAGAAGGATGCAAATCAGGACATTTTTTTTAGAGTGTTCCATGTTTTCATCTGAGTGCAGTTTAATTGATTGCCAGTAATAGCTTATTGAACTCTATTTCGTTTGGTCTCTGATTGCCTTAGCATTCAACATTTTTCTTATGCACCATCTGAGTGTTGGAGACAAGCTATGTTTAGGATGTTTACTGAGTTGACCCTGTAAGGAATTAGAAGCAATGAATTATTTGTAAATACTTTTTCTTTTTCCTTTTTTTAATGATCCCTTTCTCCTTCCTTCTCCCCCCCCTCCCCTCCCCTCCCCTCTTCTTCCTTTCAATGAAAGAATACTCATGGGCTGGGCATGGTGGCTCCTACGTGTAATCCCGGCACTTTGGGAAGCTGAGGCTGGTGAATCACCTGAGTTCAGGAGCTTGATTCCAGCCTGACTAATATGATGAAACCCTGTCTTTACTAAAGATTAAAAAAAAAATTAGCCAGGCATGGTGGCATGCATCTGTAATCCCAGCTACTTGGGAGGCTGAGACAGGAGAATCACTGGAACCCAGAAGGCAGAGGTTGCAGTGAGCCAAGATGGTGCCATTGTACTCCAGCCTCAGCAACAAGAGTGAAACTCTGTCTCCAAAAAGAAAACGCTGGGTGCGGTGGTGGCTCCTGCCTGTAATTCCTGTACTTTGGAAGGCCATGGCAGGCAGATCATGAAGTCAGGAGTTTGAAACCAACCTGGCCAATATGATGAAACCCTGTCTGTATCTGTACTAATAATACAAAAATTAACTGGGTGTGATGGTCCCAGCTACTCGGGAGGCTGAGGCAAAAGAATCACTTGAACCCGGGAGGCGGAGGTTGCAGTGAGCCGACATTGCCTCACTGTACTCCAGCCAGGGCAACAGAGCAAGACTCTGTCTCGAAAAAAAAAAAGAATACCCATTTAATTGAATGTTTGTTTGAGGCTTACTTGAAATAGCCAAATGAATTTATAGTTTTTCTCCCCTTCTTAGGGATTGTATCGTTATATTATCATCTAAAAACTTTATAAATCCGGTGTTGCATTCTTCTAGAGGCTGTACAGATGATTTGATCTGTGTGGCCTCTGTCTTTTAGGAATAACACCACTAAAAGCATAGAAAAAGGAACCAGCATTGGACAAATTTATGAAATGGAGCTATTTAAAAAGATTAATAGTACTATAAAGTAATGTTTAATGCTTAATGTCTTTAAAGCAAAACAATTCAACTCCATTATTAATGTTTTTAAATTAAATACATATACAGATACATATCTCTGTGTGTGTGTGTGTGTGTGTGTGT